GCTGGGGGGGGGGAGGTGGTACAAGGAAAAGATAAGACTTCCTAGGGGAAAGTTAGGAGAGAGGCTGCGGTCAGATGAGGGCCATGCCCAATGCGAACAGGGTACTGGGCACCTGGCCTTCAAGGAGGCTGAATGCTGAAGCTATGAGATAAAATTGAACTATATGAGGTCATGGAAGATGACTTGCCTTATCTGTGAAATGGGCTTAATAACAGCATCTTCTGCTATAAAGCTGACGTAAGATGCCATCAGGATGATATAGGAAGAACTTAGATCACTTAGAGGGTCACCACCATCATGACTGTTGTCTGCACACCCACCACAAGGCCCTGCACTGATGAGAAACCCCAAAGGCTCGTCCAGCTGGCATGGCTCAGCCTTTGAGCATCGACCTATGATCCAGGAGATCTGGGCTCGATTCCCGGTCAGGGTACATGCCCTGGCTGTGGGCTCAATCCCCAGTAGGGAGCGTGCAGGAGGCAGCCGATCAGTGAGTCTCTCATCATTGATGTTTCTATCTGTCTCTCCCTCTCTTCCTTCCTCTCTCTGAAATCAATAAAGATATATTAAAAAATATAAAAATAAAAAAAACCCCAAAGGCTCATTTATTCTACAAAAAGAGAAAAAAGATAACAGTGAGCTGCCTACATTTCAGAAACCTGTGGCTTCCTGAGTAGAGAGATAAGGGCCAGCCTTGTGTGTAGACAATAGACAGAAAGGTGCCCACGTACTGAGGTTAGGGAGGAGGTGCTATAACACCCTCCACAGCTAAAATTCCCATCCACTATTGGGCTGACCACCTCCATATACACACGAACCTGTATTCCCTGGCAGAAATTAGTTTTCTAGTAGAATATAGGGAGCTGAAGAAACAAAACACAGGCCAGGACACACGGGTGTTCAGGGGTCTGTGTGTTCAGTGATGGGGGGGTGTCTTTGGGTAAGGGAAGTGAACAGTCACAGGGCAGCAGGAGATACCTGGGAGAAAGGTGGGTCCTAGGACAAGTCTCCGCAATTAAGTCTCCCTGGGGTCACCCACAGAAGGCAGGAAGTCTGGAAAAAGCCTTGGGGAAAGGTGGATTCTGGAACAGGAAATATCTGGAAACTCCTGAGGGGAACCTCAGTATTAACTGCCTGCCTCCTTTCTCAAAGCCAGGGTTCCATGAAGAGCAACCTGTACCCCAATAACAACAGCTCACACCTAGGGGTCAAGCAGCGCCAAGTGCTTCAAACGTACACCTCATTTAACCTTTCATCAAGAAACGATTGCTCTATCCCTATTTCACAGGGTAAGACACTGGCACAGAAGGGTGTCTTGGCGAAGACTGCCTAGTAGAAGCAGGCAGGCTAGCATGTAAACAGAATCCGGTTCCTAACCACTGTGCTATCAGCCTCTCCATGACTCCGGCCCCTTTCTCCTGGGGTGGGGAGTCTATGCCTGCCCTGAACCCTCACCCCTTCAAGCTCCTGGACTGTAGACAAGGGCTCCAAGGGGTCCATCTTTCTTCTCAGGATTCAGAGCACACACCCAGTTTCCTGGAATAAGGGTCTCAATGTGTTCTCAGCTACTCTGGAAGGAGCAGAAGTCTTCCTTGAACAGTGAAAAACCACACATGAAGAGCTCTACTTCAGTACATATTTAAGAGGGACCTGGGCCTCAAATAAACAGAAATCCTAATATATCCCAAAACTGATGCAGCACCAATCTCTCCCTCTAAATCAACTTTGCAAAAAAGTCCCCAGAATGAGCCATTCCATAATTTTCTTTTCAGGAAAGACTATTTCACCTTCTTTTCTATTCTCAAAGCACGAAGTATTCATCATCATTTATTTAAGGCTAATTTCAAGAATTAGTAAATAAATAATAACATTAAGCAGGGAGATGATCCAGAAAGTAGAAAGAGAAAGGCCTCCTAAAGCCTGGGGGTCTCCTCCTGTCAGTCTTGTTGCTAATTAACCTTCCAAAGACTGGAAGAGGCCACACAGCTCATAAGTACCTGTCTTTCAGAAAATGGCTGGATGTTAGATTTCCTGGAAAAAGAAGAGAAAAGGAAATTATGGGGAAATGAAGAGAAATATCACTGTCTATAAACTGAGGGCCTCAGTAAATCTTGTTAGTCTATTAGAGAGGTGGCTAAGCCTGCCTGGGTTCACATGCCAGGCCTGCCAATTCCCAAATGGACAAAGATGTACTCTCTCAACCTCAGTTTACTTGGCTGTAAAACGGGCAATGATACTAGAGCTCACCCATATCCTAGGGCCATAGGAAGAATTAAGAGATCCGTCATATAAAATGTTTACTGGCACAGGGCCTGGTACACAGGAAGTATTAGTAACTGTTGGCTCCTGTCACCCTTGTTGTGCTGTTATTTGAAATCCCCAACCTAAAGCGCATGCTCTAATGACTGTCCTTATGTTATTAAGAGGATTCACCTATTGGTGGCCTCTCCTTGGCAGAGTGTTCTCTCGATGGTGCCGATCTGTCAACTAAACCCCCTGCAACCTGGTTGTTTCCAGCTTAGTGAGTTGAATCACCCGTTTCCTGCACAATTTGTTCTCAACTGGCTTTCTTGATTTCTTTCTTTAGGCAGATATTCAAACTAGGCGAACCAAAAGTGGAGCCTCCGCTCTGCACCGGTGCCGGCACGTTAGCACTTCCTGTGCTGGCGCGGGTAACTCAAGGGCAGCGCCAGAGCGCGGGGATGAATAACTCGCGCTCTGGAATCCACTTCAAACGGGACACATTGGAGCAACTGCAAGGCAATCTCATGTGGTTCTGCTCCCCCCGGAAATCACAACTTCAGTAAGTCAACAGTCAGGAGGCCCAGAAAAGCGCTTGATAAAGTCTCTCCTGTCTGATGGATGGCTGTCTCTACGCTCTCATGCCATTTCTTTTTCCTAAAATGCCATGGGGATTACTGAAAAGCTGTTAGCCTCTCCTCCTGTGGGTCAAAAGTCTCTGTGCTGACATACTTACTTCCCAAGGCTGGTTCCCCATGCACTTCGTACAGGTCACCATCTGGTCCATCCGGAGCCTTGGAATATTCTGCACCGTCCCCCTCCTCCAAAGGCAAGCTGGGCTGCTCGGCGCTGGGGGTGTCCCCTCTTGGGCCCTGGTTTGGCTCTGGGCTTCCGTCCACCCCTCCTGGAGCAGGTGGGTTCTTCTTGTCCCCACCCCCGCCTGGCTCTGTTTTCACATCTCTGGTGTCCACAGGGGGACTGGTGCCTGCTGAGTTCACTGGGCAGTGGTACTGAGGTATGACACCCACGAATTTCAGGCCCCGACTCGCGGCCTCCTGGATCTGTGAGGCAAACAGAACGAAGGGAACCAAGTGAGTGGGATGCTCTACGAAAGGGGGGACACATGCAACACCCAAAATGCCTCACTGCAGGCCTCGAGGACATTTCAGGTTGAACATGAACTCTGTTAAGCTGGCAGAGGCTCTGTCAGCCTAGCAGTACCCGCACCCCACCCCTGCCCTGACGGGACAGATAGCATGGGCCTTGTTCTTTCTAACTATGGAAAAGCAAAGCATTTAGCATTGAAAGGGCTGGGATTACCTCTCTTTGAAACACTGCACTAGTCCCTTTTAGTTATTTTTTTCCTAAGAGGCTAGAAAAGGTTCTAAAAGGATGAGCTGGAACAAAGAGTTTGAAAGAGGAAGTTCATTTGGTAAGAGTTTATTTTTTCATCATTTTTTTAATCTGATGAATCACCTACTTCCTGCCAATCAGGCTACTGTATAATCCAGTATGTCTACATGACCATACACTAACTATCTGATGACATTTTATGACCCAAAGAGCTTCCTCTTTTAAACAATTGTTTTGGCAGCAAAGGGCAGAGGTGGGGAAAGTCACCACTGTGCAAAAGCTAATGCACACATTTGCCCAAGAGGGGACATCTGCTCCGTGGTGCTCAGGCCTGGGTGAAGCTGGAGGAGCCCAAAGACCATGCTTGGCCCGCAGGTGCAGCTCAGGCAGACTTGTAATTCTGCAGGCCATGGTACACACCATCCAGTCTAGGTAACGGGTGATTTCCTCCTCACTTCCTGAGCCCACAAAGTGGGGGACTATTGGCCACATGGAGTACTGTGGCATTTTAACTCTCCTCTCCTTAAAAAATTCCCCCAGGCAATTGAACGTAGTAGTTATAGTGTTGGG